TCCCCCTCTACTCAGCTCTGGTGAGGCCGCACCTCGAATGCTGTGTTCAGTTTTGGGCCCCTCACTACATGAAAGACACATGAGAGGCACTGGGACATGTCTAGAGAAGGACAACGAAACTGGTGAAGGGTCTGGAGCACAAACCGTACGAGGAGCGGCTGAGGGAGCTGGGATTGTTCAGTGTGGAGAAGAGGAGGCTCAGGGGAGACCTCATTGCAATCTACAACTTCCTGAAGGGAGGTTGTGGTGAGGAGGGGTTTGGTCTCTTCTCCCAGGCAACAAACAGGACCAGGGAAATGACCACAAGTTGTACCAGAGGAGATTTAGATTGGACATAAGGAAGAACTTTTTCTCTCAGAGAGTGGTCAGACACTGGAATGGCTGCCCAGGGAGGTGGTGGAGTCTCCGTCACTGGCAGTGTTCAGGAAGAGTCTGGATGAGGAGCTGTGAGATCTGGGTTAGTGCTTGTGGTCGTGATGGTAATGGGAGGACGGTTGGACTGGATGATCTTGCAGGTTGTTTCCAACCTTGTGATTCTATGATTCTGTGATTGTATGATTGTATGATTCTATGATTCTATGATTCTATGCTGAAGCCCATTCTTGTTCCACCAGAATTCATTCTTCATTAATGTAGATGATTCTTGAAGCAATAGCATTGATAAGGCATATAGCAAACCTAGTAGTGATGACATGCAGTATTAGGTAGCAATTAACACAATACAACTGAAATCATTGGTTATGCTCATTCATCCTCAAATCGCCTTTGAAATGAGAGATACACAGCAGACTTCCATATCCTTCTACATGACCCATCAGGTGCGCTCAGGTCCTTGAGCAAAATCAATCCCATGGATAGGCTAGCCTTTGTTCAAGGCAGGAAGAACCAGAACTATCTTGCCCAGCATGTTATTCACGTGCATTACAGGTACTTCATTTCCTTTTACAGGACACAGGAGTTTTGATTGGGCAGGGCCAGCTTGACTGGCAGATTCCCCAGTGTTTTCTAACCAGGTGGCTTTTACTAAATGTGTGTCCGAGTGTTTAAATGTGCCAGCACCCGTTGCTCTCAGAATAGTCTTGAACAGTCCATTGTATTATATGATGTGGGATAGGCTGTGTGATATACCTGTGCATACTACTTGGCCCAGGTGTTTGTGGGGTTGTTTTGGAAAGTCCTGTTGTCTGACTCAATTATTTCTGGGTACCATGTTACCACAAGACTTGCTTTTCAAGGCCCAGGATATGTTTCTAGCCATCCAGTGGTTGCTTCCACCACTGCAAGCACAGAACACTTATGACACTTGCCATAGCAGGTCTGTGGGAGTCTGATATAACCCACCTGCCAGGCCTTCCCATATTGATATTTCAGCCACTGTCTGCCATGTCAAAGAGGCATGTTTGGCTTGCTTGATTACAGTACATGTTTCATGTTCGTGGATAACCTGTACAGTAAGGTTCTCCCCTCAGTTCCTAGCCCATCTAACTGTTGCATCTTTTCCTTGGTGGCCTAGGGTGTCATAGGCTCAATGAGTTAAAAATAATTCACCCTTATGTTGCTAGTGCAGATCTACTTGAGTCATTTCAGTCCTACTGGCCTGATCCACCTGCTGCTTGTTTTGATTCTCTTCAGTTGCACGACTCTTAGGTATGTGAGCACCTACATGAGACCTTTACAACCAAGTTCTCCACTCAGACAACAGTGCCTTTCCACAGTGCAGGGGCCAGATGGGTTTGCCACTGTGCTGCCAGTTGTTCTGCTTCCATTGCAGTAAACCACACCCATAGGAGATGGCCACTATCCAGGAGTCCGTGTAGAGGTAGAGCATGGCACATTCACCAGTATCTGAAGCCTGCTGGATGGCCTTCACTGCTGCAAACTGGCCCCACTCATCTTCTCCTTCAGCAGTTTCTGTGATTTGTCACGTTGACTCTCCATATAGCAGCCTTCCACCTCTGATGCTTTCCCACAATGTGACAGGTTGCATCAGTGAACAAAGTATGCTGCTTCTTACTCTCTGCTTGTACAGTGGAGTGGAACAGTGGAGCCTAAAAATTCCTAAAAACTGGATTTCCTGTGTAGGTCCCTTGACCGTTGTTTATGACAAAACCAGATCTCATTAGGATTTGGATTATTTTCTTCCCTTTCTCAAAAACTTCTTCTGCTGTGTTGCTTGACATGGTGATGCCACCAATGACTGTGGGTGTTCAGAAGCTTCTTCCTTTTTCAGAGCAGTCTGGATCAGCCCATGACAAATGGTAGGGCTGTGTTTCCACCTCTGGGGCTGTCAATTCCAGGCATACTAGATGCCCCTCCAAATGGAAGCAAAATGTGGCCTCCACTCTGTTTCTCAATCCAGAGGGATTGAGAAAAAAGTATTGGTGATGTCAGTTGTGGCGTACAACTCAACTGCCTTTGACTCCAATTTGCATTGAAGTTCTAGCATGTCTGGCACAGCAGCCCTTAGCAGTAGTGTGACTTCATTCAGGCCATGATAGTCCGCTGTTAGCCTCCACTCTACACTGGACTTTTGTACTGGACATATGGGGCTGTTGGTGAGTGAAAGGGACTTTCACCTTGGTTCTTCAGTTGACAAATCAACTGATGAATGGGAATCAGAGAGTCCCAAAGGGTGCAGTATTGTCACTAGTGCACTGTTACAGCAGTGATCTGCACCTACTGTTCTACTCTTAGCAACCCCACAACAGAAGAGTCCTCTGAGAGACCAGGTAGGGTAGACAACTGCTTAATTTCCTCCATCTCCAAGGCAGCCATACCAAAAGCCTACCGATACTCTTTTGGGTCCTTGAAGTACCCTCTCCTGAGATGCATGGAGACTATGAGCCAGTCACTCATAAATGGAGTCCTTTTGCCATTCATTCATAAACCAGTGTTACACAGTACATAAAATTATTATCAATCCAGTCCCCAGAGGTGATAAGCAGCAGCACAATTAAATATATATAGAGTAAGTCAGGTGCATAGCACACCTCTGAAAACAGGCACGTCAACTCTGAGAGCAGAAAAATCAAGACCATGACGAGCAATTATGAAACTTAATGCTTATAATAATTTTGTTTTGACACACTCTGGTCAGATCTCTGTTGTCTTAACCTTTCGGGCCCCACAGTGGGTGCCAAAAGGATGGTGTGGTTTGACAGGCCGGCAGCCTGCTCCTGTGCTTTGAAGACTTACTCCTTGAACAGTGACCAGCATTCTGGGCCCCTTTATCCTTCAGGACTGAATCCCAAGGAATTCACCTTATCATGTTCCTGGACAGTTCAAAGTCTGCCCTCTGGAAGTCCAAGGCAGCAGCTTTGCTGCCTCTTCCCTGATTTCACCAACAACTCTACCATTTTGTGGTCACTCTGTCCAAGACAGCTCCTGATCCCCACATCTTCCACCAGACCCTCTTTGTGAACAGGAGTTCTAGAGGGGCACCTCCCCTGATATATTCTCTTACCAGCTGCATCAGGAAGTTGCCTTCCGAACACTCTGGAAAGCTCCTAGATTTCTGCTTCTGCGCAGCATTGTATTTTTTAGCACATATTAGGGAAGTTGAAGTTCCCTGTGAGAATATGGGCTGGTGATCACGAACTTCTGCCAGCTGCTTGTAGAACACCTCATCTGTCCCTCCACCCTGGTCAGGCTGTCTATTAGAGACGCCCACCAAGATGCCCGTCTTGCTGGCCCTCCCCCTGATCCCTACCCATGGAGATTCAGCCTTATCATTCCCAAGCTCAACAGCATTGAAATACTCTCCATATGCATATATATGCACGATATCCCCTTTTGCATCGGGTGCCTAAAGAATGCCTGTTTTCTAACTAAGTCTTAAGAGTTTCATGATGGATCAGTTTATAATAACATGCAGAGTAATGTAGTACATTGCTGTGGTTTAACCCAGCAGTAGCTTGAACACCATGCAGCCATTGATCCCCAACCTCCTCCCAGTCAGATGGGGAGAGAATTGAAAAAAAGAGAACTTTTGGGTTGAGATAAAAGCTATTTAATAAGACAGGAAACAAAGAGAGAAATAACAATTATATAAATTTATAATTGTCATATCATACGTACACAAATTAAGTGATACACAACAGAATTGCTCACCATGCACTGACAAATGCCTATCCTTTCACCAAGCAGTGGCTGCCCCTCAGCCAATTTCCCTCCATGTTATAGTTTTATCACATGATATAGGTTTCTCATATGGTACAGAATATCCCTTTGGGCAGTTTAAGTCATCTATCCTGGTACTGTCCCCTCGCAGCTCCTTGTGTGCCCTCTCAGCCCCCTCACTGGCAGGGCAGTACAAGAAAATGAAATGCACTGCTCTGCAATAGCTGCACAACAATGCTGTGTTATCAAAATTGTTTTTCTCCTAAAGCCAAACCATGGCATTATTCCAGACACTCTGAAGCAAATCAAATCAACTCCATCCCATCTGAAACATGGCCAATAACCACACCTTATTCTGTCTTTGAAGCATGTTCAGGTCCCACAGTTTCCCATACATCCCAATTACCATCACTCCTCTTTACAGCAGGTATCGTTCTGTAGTTTACAGGTTGTCCCTGCAAATGGATGTTATAGAGAGTGATGAAGTCTTCCCTCAGCCTCCTTTCCTCTAGATTAAAGTCACAATTCCCTTGTATGCCTGTGCCTTATTTTCTAGTCCCTTCATCAGCCTTGTTGCTCTTCTCTGCACATGTTCAAGCAAGTCAGTAACCTTTTTGTAGCAAAGGGCCCCAAACTAAACAAGATATTCACTGCACAGCCTCACAAGTGCTACACTTGTGAGGGGACAATTGCTTCTCTGGAAATGCAGGCGGGAAGAAGAGGGAAATGGGATTTCTGTAAAAATAAAATAATTAGTTTGTACACTTGAGAATGATCAAAAGGGGGAAATTTACAATTGCTGTGGTTTTTTTTTCCTTTTTTTTTTTTTTTTTTTTTTTTTTTTTTTTTTTTTCAGTGCCCTGTGTTCTCCAAGAGAAGGGCAGGCAAGACTAAGTTGCAGTCTAAAAAGACACTTGAATTTGCAAACCTGAGATGGAAGCAAAGGGAACAGAAGTGCTGACCCACTTGGAAAAGGAGAAACAGTCCTCTGTCACTATTTGTACCTCCGATGGTGGCTCATTTCCAGTCTGACAGCACGGTTACTGAAAAGACATCTTGATTTTCTTCCAAAGATATATTAAATCTGTGTTGTTGGCAAACCTTTTTTCTGTTCTGAAAGTTTAAGAAGGTCATGTCATGAATACAGATGTATAACTTAGCAGAGGACTGAGAACATTCTAGAAGAAATCTTTTCTTGAAACTTGAAACATCCCTGAAGCTGCTGCTCTTTTCTGCTATGCTTCAAAAAACAGTCCAGGACAAAATCTTTATGCATGGCTTTCTGTTTTCCAACTGAAAGTCTTTTTCAAAATTTCTTTCACCTCCTTGTTTCTGAACGTGTAGATGAAGGGATTTAGCAGAGGAGTTATAACAGTGTTTAAAATGGTGATTATTTTGGTCAGTTCCAAGGAAGCTTTGATGGAAGGCTTGACGTGGAGAAAGATAGTGGATCCATACCAAACAGTTATCACCATGAGGTGGGAAGAACAAGTGGAGAACGCTCTTCTGCGGCCTTGTGCAGATGGGATCTTCAGTACAGTATATATGATATAAGTATATGAGACCAAGGTAATGACACAGGAGCCAAGGATGACAATGGCAAACATGATGAAGCACACCATCTCCACAAGGGAGGTATCTGTACAGGAAAGGATAATCCAGGGAGAGATGTCACAGAAAAAGTGGTTGATGACATTAGAGCCACAGAAAGACAACCTGGAAATCAAAAATGTGGGCACTGAAATGGTCAGGAAACCACCTATCCAAGAAACTGCTGCCAGCCATGTGGACAGAGTGCTGTTCATGATGGTGGTGTAGCTTAGGGGGTGGCATATGGCCAAGTAGCGGTCGTATGCCATGACAGTGAGGAGGAAATATTCTGTGCAACCGAAAGAAAAGACGAAGTACATCTGAAGGAGGCAACCTGTGAAGGAAATGGATTGACTCTGTGACCCCAAATTAACCAATGTCTTTGGGACACAGGCAGTGGTGAAGCAAATCTCCAGGAAGGCAAAATTACAAAGAAAATAATACATAGGGCTGTGGAGATGACGGTGTGTCGTCACCAGAATGATAATGGAGATGTTGCTCATTACTGTCAGGACATATGCAAAGAGGAGGAAGAGAAACATCGTTAGCTGCAAATATGGAGAGCCAGGAAATCCAACCAGGATGAACTCCTTCACATGGGTGCAACTTCTGTTCCACATCCAGTCCTAACAAGCAAATAACGGACTCACTGAAGATGGATGCACCGGTGCACCCCTTCCAAACCGCCAGAGAAATGTTATACCCAACTTCACCATGGATTTGAGTGCAGTGAGAAATCAGTCACTTGAATCTGGATTCATTCTACTAAACCTTAGCCATGTTGCTAGAGGCAGACCTAGGAACAGGGACAATTCTGTGCACTTGCCAGGCAGTTAGCCTCTCTGAAGTGTAATTCAACTTACCTCTTCTCAGTAGGGTAATCGGGATGGGATGAAGAGCCTTGTGGAGAAGACAGTATTTCTCTTCTTTGGCCATAAGGGGGAACTGAGAGAATTAGCTTAAACCTGGACCACAAAGGTTGCAGTATATCCTATCTTTTTCTCAGCATTTTGATATGATTTGAGAGAATGGAGTCATCTTCATCTGAACTAGTTATAGCCAAAGGAGACAGACGGGCACTTAAAGGTGCAGTTTATATCAAAGCAAAATGTTTTTATGCTATTTTAATAAATCACATCCTAATCTGTATATCTTCCCACTGACAATGAGGAAACACTAGCAGCTGTTTCCAGAGGAGGTAGTTGAAATGTAGATTAGGTCAGCTCCTGGTGCCTGTAACAGCCAGACAGAATCTGAGCAAATTCAAGATCTGCTCTCTAACAGAACAGCAGAACAGGGTGCAGAAATGAACAGATGAACAAATGTGTATTTTTAAACAATTATTGTGCATAAAGCTTTCACTTTCAAAATTGATTTCATTTAAGATCATGAAGATAAACTCCAAGAAGACAGCAAGAAAAACAATAAGAAACACTAGTAAACATTAGTACACTTTTTTTTTTTTTTTTTTTTTTTTTGAAAAATCAAAGTATCTCTTTCCGTCTGAGAAGAAAATGAATCCATCTAATCCTTCCTGACCTCTGAGGGGAATCTCATCATAGTGATGCACTTTTCAATGCAAGTTGTTAAAGCTTTGCCAAAGAAACATGGTGATTTCCATGACTGCTAAATTTCCCACAGAATCAATCCATTTCTACAGCAGTTCTCTATCTCAGTACACACTACTTCTTTCATTCCTCTGCCTGGCTTTCTGACTGTAATTTTTAATTAATTGACTATACTGGACTACACTGTCTTAGCAAAAACTGAAATTGTATTACGCCCTTCATTAAAGCTTCATCTAGGCAAAGTGCTGAGCAGACAAGGCACTGTTATTTCACTCTTTCCTCAAAACCCTTGGGCCCCTCTGTCTGCTGAGAGTTATATTCCAATTATGCTTTCCTAAAATCGGAGTGGAAGAGTATGTTCTGCTCTTGAGGATATAGGAAAATTTTCACCTACTCCCCTGGCAGCAGAAAAATTTTCTGAAAAGCATCTGTGTTTTTCCAGAGTCTTCAGTAAGACTGATTGATCCATAAGTCTTAGAAAAAAGAAAGCAAGAGAATTAAATTGGTTGCATTCACTTTACAGAAGCTCACATTTATACTGGGATTTTTAGAGGGGAAGTCTTCACACACCTCCTAAAGTTGACAAGGTTGCCAATCATTGCTTGTAAGAAATAATGTTGCAAAATAGAAATGAGAAGATTGCAAATTAATGATTTAATGAGAAGATTGCAGATTAATGTAGGGCTTTTTAGGAAGATGGGATAATTTTGCTGGTCAGCGTAGGAGAGACATGGAGCTGTTGGAGCACGGCCAGAGGGGCCACTAAAATGCTCCAAGGGATGGAACACCTCTCTGCAAGGACAGGCTGAGAGAGCTGGGGTGTGCAGCCTGGACAAGAGAAGGCTCTGAGGAGACCTCAGAGCGGCCTTCAGTATCTAACAGGGCTGTAAGAAAGAAGACAGCTTTCACCAAGCCCATGGCCAACTTCCTCTGGGATATCAGGTCTATTTCCTATGCAAGTTATGCTGCCCGGATCTTTCTCATCACCACTGGAGCTCAATTTTCTTATCTCACTGTCATAGCCTATGACTGCTACGTTGCCATCTGCAAACCCTGCTCTATGGGACTCCTCTGGGCAGCAGTGCTTGTGCCAACACAGCAGCAGCTGCCTGGGGCAGTGGGGTTATCTGTGCTGTGCTGCACACTGCCAGTACATTTTCAGTACCTCACTGCCAAAATAAGTCTGTGGAGCAGTTCTTCTGCGAAGTTACTGGCCACAATAAGGTGGCCATTATCCTTATATGATAACCAATGTACCTCACATTAGCAAAGCCCATCTCTTCTTCATAGTTTTTGTAGTTTCATTGTTGTAATTGTGATAATACATGTGCAAAATACATGCTGTAATATCTTTCACTTCCTCTTTAACGTCTACCTTTATTTTTCTCACCCTAAATCCTTGTGCACTGATGGAGTCAGATTCCCTAAACACATAAATCAAGTAAGGATAATATTATTTTCCTTTGTTCCAACCTCTTCCTTTCTCCTCTGCAGGCAGGAGCAGGCGATGAGGCCTTCTGGGACACAAGGGAACACTGCTGTTTCATAGTCAGCTCGCCGCCCGCCAGGACGCCTCCGTCATTCCCTGCAAAGCTCCTCTCCAGCAGGGCAGCCCCTAGCCTGTACTAATGCATGCAGTTATTCCTCTCCACATACAGGACCTTGTGTTTCCCCTTGTTGAACTTCATGATGCTCTTTTTTGCCCATCCATCCAGCCTGTTGAGGTCTCTCTGAATGGCACACAGTCCTGTGGTATATCTTCCACTCCACCCACGCTGGTATCATCAGCAAACTTGCTGAGGGTACACTCTGTTCCTTCATCCAGGTCACTGAGGATTAAGTTGAACAAGATCAGACTCAGTACAGACCTGTGGAGGATGCCACAAGCCACAGGCCTCTAGCCAGACTCTGCAGCTGCTTACAGCTGTGAGCCCCGTCATTCAGCCAACTCTCAATCGACCTCACTGTCTACTCATCTAATCCACATCTTCCAAGATTGTCTACATAGATGTTATGGGGAAGAGTGTCAAAAACCTGGTCAAAGTCCAGGTAGACAACATCCATCCCATCTACCCAGCTAGTCATCCTGTCAAAGAAAGCTATCGGATTGGTTAAGCATGATTTCCCCTTGTTGAAAAAGTGTTGACTGTTCCTGATCACTTTTTTTGCCCTCCACTTGCTTTCTTCTTCCTCCTGATACATCAATTTTTTTGTCCATTACACCCCTTGACAGATTAAATACCAAACAGGCCTTAGCTTTTCTGCATATTCTGAGAACGCTCCTGTATTCTTTCCAAGTGGCCTGTCCCTTTTTCCACATTCTGTACACTTCTTTCTTTTGTTTGAGTTTTCTCATCATCTCCTTGCTCATCCAAGCAGTTCTCCTGCCTCCTTTGCTAGAATTCTTACTAGTGTGAATGCACTGACTCTGAGCCTGAAAGATGAGATGCTTGAATACTGACCTCCTCTCTTTAACTCCTCTTCCTTCTAGTGCCCCATCCCATGAGATTTCTCCAAGCAGGATCCTGAAGAAGCCAAAGCTGCAATTCTGTTTGTTGCTTTGCATCCTCCCTGAAAGAACCTGAACTCTACCATCTCATAGTTGCTGCTGCCAAGGCTACCCACAAATTTCACATTTCCAACCAGTCCTTCATATTTGTTAGTGCAAGGCCCAGATACATGTCTCCTTCTTGGCTTTTCCATCACCTGTGTCAAAAATTACCATCGGTTCTCTGCACAGACCCACAAACCTCTTGGACTGTTTCTGCCTGGCTATGAAATCTCTCTATCAGATATCAGGTTAGCTGAAGTCCCCATGCATGAAGTTCTGCAGGGGTTGTGATTGTGAGGATGCTTCCAGCTGACTGCAGAATGCCTCATCAACTTCTCATCTCAGTCAGGTGGCCTGTAGTAAAAACTCACAACGTATCACCTGTTAGTCTGCCCATTAATTCTTACCCATCACCACTTCTGTTGCCTTTCCTGCCCCTCCCTGTCCACTTCCTTGGCTCCATGTTTCTGTTGGACCACAACATCTACGGTCAAATGTATTTCTTTGCTATCATCTCCCCTCTACTTGCCCTGTGTGATGACACAGTCGGGGGGAACATGTTACATTTAGGCCTGGCAGTGTTCATGCTTAATGACTGTGACAAAGAGGCTGCTGAGATTGGATTCTATGGTACAGAGGAGACCTTATGAAGAAAAGTTTATGTTAAACAACAGTTTAAAAGCAGTGGTCTCCATATTGGTGCCCATGAAGAGGGTCTATTCCCCTGTTACAAAAAAGACCCACTGATATCAAGATGCACTTATTTTTTTCAATCTGTTGCTGACAGAGGTCAAGTCAGTCTGCACTCACTCCCATGGTCTCTTCTGTACATGATGCTGGCTTGGTGCTCTTCCTTGCTCTTTCTCTAGCATAACTGGCATTGGTCATGGCACAAGATCACACTGGAGATCTGCCTTCTTCGTCACATTAGGCTCTAAGACAGTGCCTTTCACTTTGCTTCAGTTGTTTGCTTTAAGATAAAATGGATTAGTTCTCTTTCACTAATATGAGGCACAATCCAATACTTGTTGCCTTCTGTCTCTACGGCACAATAAATTTTTATAGTTTTCCTTACTCTGAAGATAGACCTGAAGGGTTTTTTCACATGGCTTCCTTTAATTTTCCCAGCTAGAAGGGAACATGTTCCACACTGGGAGCATGGGAGGAAGCTGAAAGGTTCTGCCTCAGCCACTTGAAGTGATCTGCTCTGAATCTTTCAGCCTGTGTTTGCCACAGATGACCTAAGATGGTTCAGAGACATTTTGGTGTCATTTGGTAAGAATAAAGCCAAGTTTCTGAGGTTCCCACTGGCCATTTCAACTGTGGGTCAATCCTAAGAGCCCACCAACTTGTCTCTGGGAAGGTTTTGTGTGCTGGATTGGGCAGTTTGTAATAATTAATAATAATTAATAATAAATAATAATAATAAATAATAATAAATAATGCCATCCTCTCAATATAATGTAACACTGCTTGACTTCTGTCTTGAAGAAATATGAATTTTCAGAGTGCGTAATCACTGTAGAAGAATTACTGATCCTTCCCTTTACTTGCATTGCCACTGCTCAGTCATGGTGTGCATTTAGTCTTCTTAATCTTCCAGGTGCTTTTGTCTACCCTGATTATGCTGGAAAGCCACATTTCCAGAATCCTGCCTGGACATATGCACTTCCCATTGTTCTCCAGATATTTTATTATCTTACTCTTTGATCACTCAGATCCTTCTCACCTGCCCAGTTGCTGCTTTGAGTTTCAAAGCATTCAAGTTTGCTAGTCTTTCAGTAGTCTGTCTGTGTCCTTAGCCAGCTTCACAACGTGTTTATTATTTCCCATCTCTCTGTACAAAACACTTCTTGTAGAGCTATCTGTAGGGGAAGATGAGCCTCTCTGGAGATATACAGCTGAGGAGTGGACTGCTTTTCCTGCCTATCTAGTTCTTCACAGAATGCTACTTGGGTCAATATCAAGTGGAGGATGGTGCTTGAAAAGCACAAAATACTGACAAAGTTTCCAGTCTTCTATCAAATTATGGAAGAGATGTGACTCATTATTGCTTCTGCACTGCAATGAGCCCCATGGTGTGTTTGGTACTAAGTCTACTAAGTTGAGGTATAAGAATGATGTAACTCGTTGAGAAAGTAAACTCGGAAGGAAAAGTTGAAGAGACTTGCAGTGTTAATGGGCCCCATTGAGGGCCATTACTTACAAAACTCCCCATGGACGTTATAGAGCAGATAATTGAAGACAGGCAAAGAACTGTGCTGGGAAAACTGTCAGAAGGGCCAAGGTCTGATCTCAGACACTGGGAGAAGAGATCTGCCATTCATGCATTACTGAGGGCCTTTCCAGGGCAGCATGTGGGATGTATGGAGTGTTTCCAAGTGAAGGACGATGGTATGACACCTCTCAGCCTATGCAAGGAAGCAACAGGTCCTCCATGCCAGGAGTATAATGCGTCTCCTCATTAGCTATGGCTAAGGGATCAAAGATTTCAGTGCAGTTGAGGCCTTCCATCCTTGCCAGCGCCTTCTACCTGCTCTGCTGCAGGTTTTCCTGTGCTTCTTGACACCTACCTGAAGGCCCTAGACACCCAACTCCATTGCCCATCTTGCTCTCACCCTGGCATTTCCCTACAGTCATGCATGTGTCTCCACCTTCTTCAGCTGTTCCTTGAAGTACAAAGCTGTGAGCTGACCACAAACTATATCTAGGTGACCTCTGGTACCACAGTACTGTCCCCTTTTGTGACATTTCTTCCTTCTTGTGTACCTAGGCTGTACTTTTTTGGGCATTTTTTTCCCATTCATGCTTTTGCCATTAACGAGAACTCTG